ATCGATTATGACGTTTGCGTTAACAAACCAAAACTATTAAGGATTATCGAGCATTTCATCGTAAAAAAAACACACGCACACACACAACAACAACGGGACGATAAGGAATTCAACAAAAAAACACAAAAAACGACACGCACACACGCACACACACACATACCATCCGTAATAACACATCAGGAATCCTAAGAAATATAAAAACAAAAATCACATTGCCTAAAACAACGCTTGGAGAGTAATCGATGGTTATAGCTATAGCCAACAGTGCTCACTCCTTGTGTTGACCAGAAGCTCCGTGCCGCCGCTAACACTGGACACAATGGTCATCTGATAATAAAATGTGAGTGTATTGTGTGTTGGCCTCGCACTGTGGCTGCTTGCACGGACGTCTTGGGGGAAGGCCGTGGTGTGTGTGTGTGTGTGTCCCCGTAAACACACACACACACACACTTTCCCTCCCATATATTCTCTCCCAAACGTCAACCCTCTGAGTGTCTCACTACCTGACCCTCAGCTACCGTACACACACACACACACACACACCTACACACCCTCTCTCCCTTCCCCTACGTTTATTGATCCACTGTTGTAAATATTGATGTTTTGTCGTCCACCTGCTGCCTTGGGGAGCTGGTGTTCCACTACAGCACCGCCCACTCTTCCTACTTGGACGTGACGCTTAAACCAGTCTGCCTGTACTAACTCACTCCAAAGGTGTCTATCTTGCTCTTAAACTAATCTTTCATTTGACTACTTTACACTTAAACTACCTTATTCATATTCAACGAACCTCTAAACCAGTCATTGTTTATATCATATTTATTCTGAAACCAGTTCACCTGTAAATTAATGTCATGTAACTCATACCTTATACAGACATCAGTTTTCCAGATTGTGAATATATTACACTATTCTATCTGCATCTTATTTGTGTTTATAAGTCTTGTGTAAATCCACGCTTAAGGTAACCAAGAATTATTATGCTTCTTACGACAGACAGCACTATGTACACATCACACACGATCTGGTGCCATCATCCTTCAACATCATACAAATCTGGTTGATTACTCTCGCTTATGTTTCGACAGCTTAGGTTGCCAAGAACTCCCCACTTAATGAAAAGTAAATAATGTAGATAGAATAAAACAAATTCATAAAGCAAAAAGATGTAGATTACGTTTATACCAACTGTTCATACAAAGACAACACGTACATGACGCAATGTTGTGTATCTCTTATGAAAGTACACACTGTAAACCCACGTAACTTGTACCCATGAACCGGGTAATGTTCCTTGTACCTGTAATTACTGGAGACATGGGTGTTGCCGGAACAATCACCTCCCAGTCTCGGCATTATTTGTAGCTGAATGTACCATAACCCGTTTTTTCTATCCTGGGAACGGACTTGAGAATCTTTGTTTAGTTGTTACTTATAAAGAGAGGAATGCCTGTAACAAGAACAGGACGTCAGTGTTTATAGTTAGGGTACAGCAAATTGGTTTCGTCTTCAAGTAAACAAACCCCGTGGATACATAATTAATATGCTGTGGAACTCCTCCTTGTTGTGTATGCGTCACCACTATCATCATATCAGCTTTGGGGAAATATTTAAGACAACAGTAACAGGAATAGTGACGTCAACAACAGGAATAGGATGAACATTAACAGAAGGAGAAGCTAAAGTACCTACACCAGCTCTGTCGGTGGCCGGTAATAAAGTCACAGGAAAAAAAGTCACAGAAAAAGTCACAATTTTGGCTAGGAAAAAAAGTCAGGAAAAAAGGTCACAATTAATTTATGGTGGCCGGTAATAAAGGTTAGGTTAGGTTACTGAAACTGATTGACATATTAACCTTAAAAAATGTGAGAATTCGATAGTTAACTTTTCTTTTTTTCCTGTGACTTTTTTACCTGGATTCGCTCTGTCGTCCTAGGAGCCTGAGTGAAGCCTAAGATGAACACAAAGATCCTCTCAAACAGACGACAATCTATGGTGCGGATCCTACTCTCTGTGGTTCACATTTCCAAAATATTTCACATTATATTTGTACCTTTGAATAAAAAATAAAACAAAATCAAGGTGTTTCCAGTTAAGGTAAAATCTCAACTGAATCATAACTAATTTGATATTAAGAGATTCCGATGCGTTCTCACCTGGTCAATTGGGATGGAAATCTAAATATAGGTCCTTCATGAATCCGGACTGAGACCCACACCTAAACTCACACAGTTAGTTTACTTTGTAGGTAAACCACGAGGTCACGGCGTCAGGTACCACAGACAGGCTCAGACAGGATAAATATATCTCCCCCCAAATCCTTTTTAGTCAGGCTGTTTGTGTGATTAGACGATTTTTACCCCCTACATAGACGATCTAACCTAATCGCCTAAATGGGATGACAAAATATCGCATAAAACAGACGATCGTTCAAATGGGAATAGTCCACGTTAGATAACTCCGTTTGTGGACCTACTGGGTGTCTGTAGCAAGATGTAGCGGTGCCTTAGTGATGATTTTACCTGGGCGGTGGCCGGCAGCGACACGCGAGGTGGTGTAGTGGTATACACACTGCCGACGTCATGCTGGATTTCACTTTTGTAATGGCCAGTTGGTGGTGTCACTGGGAGACACAGCTGAATGGGTGGTGGGTGATGTTGGTGGTGGGGGGGGGGGGAAGATTGGGTGTGTCGTGATACTGAGGGAGACACGGTCAGCCTTTCGTGTCAGTGGGGGAGATAAAGCCCAACTTTCCGTGTCACTGGGGAGTAATAATCCGGTCATGAAGTATTAGCCCAAAAAGGGAGAAATGCATCCGATCTTTTTTATATAAAGAAAATGGCGAAATTCCTCGGTAAAGAAGACGAGAATATATACATACATAACAGAAGTAAATATTTTAATGTAGAATAAAATGATAAAAATAATCTGCACTAGGATACGAATAGTAAAAAAAATAGTGCATATTTTTTTTCTACGGAGAGAACTGACAAACATGCGAGACGAGGGGTGGCAGTTGTCAGGTGTTGCTCAGAGGAAAACACAAATTCTAAAATAATTGTTTCTGTGAGATGAAGGGAAAACAGAGAAGCGGTATGAGAATAAAATAAAGAATTATATGTAAAACGAAGTGAGAACGAGATTTCCCGTTAGCGTATTGAAAATGAGGAACTCAATGTTGGCAAGAGAATGTGAAAATGACACAAAAATATAAATGAAAAAATAGCGTTAAGGGCCAACATCAAATAAAAACGTGTTTGTGAAAAGAACGAAATTATTTGTGAAAAACAGTAAAAGTGAGTTATATATAATAGAAACGGTATGGCAGTGACAGATCTTCCAGTAACAAGCCGTGACATTACTCCTATATCATCAACCAACTGTCACAAACTTACAGCGATTGTCTTGTTTTAGTATGAGTCTGACATTTCTTACAGCTTCTTATGGCACTGTCTTCCCCCTCCACAGATTCACTGAACTGGATTAGTGTTATGTACAGTACCTTCTGTTGCCTTACCGAGCACATCATGTTGACATTATAATGTTATTACAATACTCTGTGAAGTGCGTAACTAGGCTAATGTTTATACTAGTCCATCCATCAACAAATAATAATTAAAAGATACAACTCTCTATATATGCACAGTTTATTTGTTATTTTCCTAATGGCAGGTTATTGTACACGAAGAGATTATCTGAAGCTTAGACCCCCCCCCCGGGCTTCTTTCACGATTTAACACCTCTACCTGGGGGGGATTAGGTTCGCGTTAATCTCAAGGAGAAATAAGCTGGGGTTAAATCGTAGGTAATCCACAAAAGAGCGTACAAGAATATTCCACGTCTGCTGAAGATTTATGCATACATATGCGTATAAGTTTTGCATGTACTGAACTAAAAATGGCATAACACTCGCTAGAACAAATCGTTACGGTAAAGACATTTAAATCACTTGGCGACCGAGGTGAGGTACTACCTTAAAGGGGAATTTATAGTGCGCAAGTCGGCCATTATTAACATGAGTCCATAGGTCTGACAGAACCACATCGTAAGTGTTTATTATGACTTCTCACAGCAACATGAGTCTGTGTTCATCTTGTTGTCACTGTAAAGCAGACCAAAGAGGTGTTTGTTATTCTTCCGTATAAACACAAGCCGAGGTGCAGTGTCCACCTATTAAAACTGTAAACCTTTTTACTGGCGTCGACACCAGCAGCCCAGCACTACAAAACAGGTTTACTTGAAATTGGAAAGATAAAGAGTAGACTGTTGGATCTGTACATAATCACGTAGTTGTTTAGTATATCTTCTTTACATAAAATACATTAAATTTATTGCTTATTCAGAACACGACGAGTATAGAGAATTACTGGAAAATATGTTGAATCGCGAGTCTCTTAAAACAGGTCGTGGTGAGGGTACAACCTGGGTCGTCCTCCTGAATGCAAATGTCCAAGATGGTGGAGACTGTACTGTACTTCCAGACTCCATTCATAATTATTGCAGCAACGCGTACTGTTTATCCACAGATTATTGTATAGAATTTCGAAACTTAGAAAAGCCGTGATGCTGAGTAAGAAGTTGCAAAGCCTATTACATTGCAAAGAGGGAATATAAATTGTTCCAGAGGCTATACATGAATTCACAAAGTAAGAGGAAGAAGAATAGGAAGTTGTAAAGCGACAATAAGTAGAAGGAAGTAAGTCGAACGAAGTGTGAAGTCATAACGAAGATTAGGTTGCAGAAAACTATAAGAAGTTGCAAACAAATTAAAATTATGTAAATAAACACAAGGAACTGTAGAATGGAATAAGGCGCTGGGAGACAACATAAGGTAATATAGAACAGCAAGAAGCAACAAGATAGAGAGAAGAGAAGAGAGAGAGAGAGGAGGGGAGACGTAAAAGGCGGTGGAGGAGGCGTGGGTCACAGCCAACCTCACATGGCTTTTCCCCGACCTGTGCCAGAATCGGGGGCGGGATGGAACCTCGGTGGGTACTTACCTTCTGATGCTGGTTGTTGGTGTCCGCTTTGATCTTATCCTCGAGGGTTTTGGTCACCGGGTGCACTTAGTATAGGTTTTCTCACAGTTGTTAATTCCATGACAATCTATCCATGGATGCTTAACTCTTTATCGGGGTCGCAGATCGGTTTTACAGAGTGATCACAACCACCACATTTATTCACTGCACACTGATGTTGTTTTCAATATCATAATGACCACATGTTTTGGATTAGCTTATGTCACTGTGCTAGTAAGGTCCCCGCGCCATGTACTCCGGGCAGCGGCAGAGCGACACGTCCTTCCCTCACACGAGACGCACCACAACTGACAGTCTATGCTAGAGTTCATCTCACCTGCCTGGCGCCCGGGATGTCACCACCTCAAGTTTAAGTTCAGGTAACAACAAGATAAGCATGTTGATCCCCCTTAGCAGTATGCTACTGTTTCATGTAAACTTTTTAATAATACGGGACAATTATGATCGTGTAACTTTGGCATTCTTCCCAAAAGTCTGAAAGTGCCTTGTATAAGCTACAATACGTTTAAATTTCGCTCTTTACTATTTGATATCAAAAAAGTTATTATCATGTATTTTTACGAAACTACACGTTCATAATTATTATTAATAAAGGAACAAGTAATCTAAAGCAATGTTTTCTGAGTATACAGTGAATATCGTATTTTCTATGCCTCTAGAACGTAAAAATAAACTGCTATATATGCTCACTGGCACCTCTTCATACACCTGAGCGGCGCTGCCACATGCTGGTGATCAGTAGGGCAGAAAGACATGGGAACAGAGGGACGGGAAGATAATATGGCACCTGCGCGGGGAAAAACGAGCTTGTGTGCACACTAGTGCAGAGCAACGAGTCTCACTCCACGCCTTCTTCAAGGCGTGCACACCACTCCTCTTGCAGAGCTCCATGAATTCCGAAAGGCGCTTATACCATGTCTTCCACAATCTCCCACATCCCATGAGCGCCTACCAAAGGACGCACACTTCGAGCACATCAGGTTATACACAGCGCTCCTTGCAGAGTCCCACTTTCCCAAGAGCGCGCACACCTCACCCTTTGCAAAACCCACACGTTTTTGAGGGCGCACACGCCTCACCCTGTACACTCAGGGAAGGCCTAATCACCAAGACTCTTACTGATCCCTGGCCTTCTGGAGGACGCGCACACCACGCCCCCACACCACGGCCCCTAGATGTCTTACTGTTTACTTATTCTCTATCTGCTGCTTCCACGCTCCTGACGCCCTACGCCTCTGTCATGTGCCCTTAATCTTCCCACCCATCTCCCTCATGTTTCCATCATCATCGTCTACTTATTTTCTCTCTCTCTCTCTCTCTCTCTCTCTCTCTCTCTCTCTCTCTCTCTCTCTCTCTGGAGGGACAATTACCTGGGACAACGTTTTAATATATGTCATTGTCTCTGGACCAAGAGTGACAACCCTTGGTCGAGACGCAGCTAAAGACCACCCCCGTTTCCCCCTCCCTCCTTCTCTCTCCCCATCTCCCCTCCCCCCATCCGTCCTTCCGTTCGCGTATCCGTAAAGCAATCCGTTTGTCCCATCTGTCCGTTAATAAAGCAGTTCATCCGTCCTTCCGTTCGTCTGTCCACAAGCAGTCTGTTCGTTCCGTCTATTAATAAAGCGATCCATCCGTCCTTCCGTTTGTCTGTCCGTAAATCAGTCCGTTCATCCCATCCGTCATTTAGTAAAGCAATCCGTCCGTCCTTCCGTTCATGTGACCATAAACTAATCCATCTGTCCTTTAATATAGTTATCCTTTCGTCCGTCCGTCAATTAGTCCGTTTTTTCCCTCGTATGTCCATCCGTTAAAGCACCACTCCGTTAATCCGTCCGTCTTTTGGTTTTTTCTAAGGCCTGGTACAATAGATTGCTTTTATGGCTCATGTAGTGTCGTATCTTAACAAATTCACAAACACCTTTAGTCTCTCACAGTACATTGTAAGTATCTCAACAGTATCTCTTTTAGTACAGATGTCTCTTACTATACCCTTAAAAAAATAGTCTCTCGGTACAGGTGTCTCGAACGAAGACACAAACACTGTCTCGTTAGGTCTCTCGTATCATATCTCTCGTGACACTTACAAAAGTCTTTTACTATCGGATTTCAGGAGCCTTAGCGACTATCTCACTCTGTCTCGCTGTCTCCTGTTCTCTGTCTGTCTGTTTTTTTTATATGTTTCTCTCTAATTCTCTGTCTTCTTCATCTTGCATTCTCTCTTTCTCGCTTTTTTCTCTCTCTCTGTTTTGGGGGAAGACACCGATCTGTTTTGAGTGGAAACAGGAGAGTGTTGAGAGAGTATCCAGGATGTTTAGGTAAGTGGGCCAGGATCCTCCGTCACCTGTCTGTATGTGGCTTTACCTGTCCTTACCTGTATCTTTGTGTTTATGCCTGTCACAGCTTTTCTGTACCTGTATGTATCTATCTTTTACTTGACTCTGTTTATCTGTACCCGTCTGTACCTCTCACCAGCTGGCTAACTTACACCTGTACAACCATCCCAGGTATTTTGAGTTAATTAGTGGTGTCGTCAGGTATTCAGTGAAGCTGTTAGTTAGCCTCCGTAATAATAATAAATAATAATAATAAACGGTTTATTAATAGAGTTGCAGCCGGTGGCTGAAAATTACAAACTTACATGTGATTTAGACATAATAATATACGTCCACTACATTTACAGGGCTGTACAGTACATAAATCAGGAGTTGTTTATTATTTTAACAATAGATGGGATGGTGCTGTTCTTATATCTATCAGTGCGGGCCCTTATGGGCTGAATTTTGTTGGGTGTGTGTGTGTGTGTGTGTGTGTGTGTGTGTGTGTGTGTGTGTGTGTGTGTGTGTGTGTGTGTGTGTGTGTGTGTGTGCGCGCGCCCTTGGCCAGCTGGAGGAAGATATGTCTGTCACGCTGGTTAATTAACGACCAACCTCCAACCCAGATTAACTTAGCATTCACGAGATTGTAAAATAATTTGATAACAATAATAATAATAATAATAATAATAATAATAATAAAATACCGTAATAATCAATAACAACCATGCTATTGAATTTGTCTTTAGGACAGATCATGATAACCTCCGACACCAAAACAAAAAAAACAATATGTGGAAAAGTGATGATATTTTGATAAGGAACTATAACCTTTTAGTCACTATATCTCATTGATGGACTGATGAGACCCATGTAGGTTAGTATAGAGACGAGAGATTGATAGAATTTGACGTAAATAAAACAGGGACGTATATGTTATTTTCTTTAGGTTAGAATACTCCAAATGTTGTGTTATATTGGTGTCGTATTGTTGTTGTATTGATGACAATCTATTAATATATCTGTGGGTGGGTATAAATGGTGTTATTGTTGGGTAAGATAACTCCCTGATCGTGTGGTGTTATTTTAAGCACCTGGCACTGATAAGGATCTCAGACGTCAGTGGGGGAATTCTTTTTTTTGTTTTATTGGGTTATTTTAGGGGGTATGATGGTATTTTTGATAAAGAGCTTAAGACACATTGTTCTGCAAGGATTCATCTCTGACAATAGTCGTTGCTTGCGTCAGTGTACCTCATCCCCATCCCCACCCCAACCATATAGTTCCATCATATTTGGAAACTGGCCTCTCCCTCCTCCCTCAACTAGCAATAAATAACTCTCGTCTTAGTCATCTCTAAGTCATGTAACCTGTCACAAACAAACAAATAATCAGATATCTTGAAGAGCTCTTATTTATACACTGACGCTTGATCTGTGGTTTCTGTTCCAGCCGTCCCTTAGCAGATTTGTTCCCTCTCCTGACGCATGACCTTGACTCCGGTCTTGTCAATTTCAGTGAATCTTATCGAGTTGACCTTTATATTTTTGAGACTTTTTACTTGGTATGGCAACAAGCTCTCCTCTCCAGACTTCTAGCTCTTAGTCTCAAGGATTCTCTGTGTTTTCTTTTTTTTCTCTCTCAGTACCATGTTCATGCTACACTCAGACTACTTTCCCATCGATGCTGGAGTACCTCAAGGCTTAGTTCTCTCTCCTACTCTGTTCTTACTCTCTATCCATTCCGGTTATATATTTCTTTGCTGATGATATTAAACCACACCGAGTCAGTCCTGTTGCTCTAGTACCCACGTAACAGCAGTTGGAATAAATACTATATACGAAAACACTCAACACAGATCATACCCGTAAGTTAATGGGGCGTAAATAACCTTGTTAAAGTCACTGCCACCAAGACATAAACTCTCACTGTCTTTCGCAACTCAGATCATTTCCAGCCTCCACTTACTGTACGTTGGGTAATACTCTCGTTGTACCAGCCACCAATGTCATTTTCCTTGGTCTAACTATAAGCAATAATCTCTTTTGAAATAACCATAATTCTATCAGTGCAAAGAACAAATCCATACTTTTCATCTACCATAATTTGTTTGCTCCTTACAGTGGTCATGTCCGACCCTATATCAATACGTGGGCTTTTGGGGTTAAAATAGCACGTTTTTTTTTGGGGTGGTTTATTAGATTGTTTTAATTTTCCAGTGTAAATTTATTTTGTTACTCTTTTGGTAGATGTAAAAATTATAAGACAGTTGTACTGACGCATATTTAATGATATTTACGGTAAAGTAGACTAACTAGAAATAAATTTTAAGTTTAGTAAATTAAAATATGTGTCAGCCACTTTGACCATCAAAAATTGTATGGAAAATATATTGATAAAAATATATTTCATCACATATGTAATTTTCTTCAACATAAATAAAAAAAACCCGGTTATTTCTTTACATCAGAGAAGCAAAAATATTCTTGACCCTAAAGAATTCACAGTTCATGCTAGTCTTTGAAACACGTGTGAAATTTTGGAACCCCCACCACCACCTCACCACCACCACCCTCGCCAGTGTGAACAAGTGAACAAACAGTAAGGTAGACGGACTTGCGTGCAACCTAAGAGGCATCCTTTGACAGGTGAGGAAGACAGGTGAACAAACAAACTCGGTAAGAGGGACACGGGGCATGTGGAGAGTGATAACGCACACACAACACGGATATACAAAACACACATACACCCACACACACATGCATACACATACTTACATACATATATACACACTTTCTCGCTTACTGTCCAATACACTCACTCATTCACTCACTTTCAAGATCAACACAATCATAGTACAATGAAATTAAGTCTAATGTATGTATGAACTGTAGGTTGTATGTCGTAACAGTTTTTTTTTGGGGGGGGGGAGGGAGGGGGGGGGGAATATGTCCCCTTCCCTAAAAGAAAATTACATGAAAATCCCT